AGTAGTAGTAGTAGTAGTAGTAGTGGTAGTAGTAGTAGTAGTAGTAGTAGTAGTAGTAAGTAATAAGTAGTAAGTAGTAAGTAGTAAGTAGTAAGTAGTAAGTAGTAAGTAGTAAGCAGTAAGTAGTAAGTAGTAAGTAGCAGTAGCAGCAGCACACTGCCCACACCTGAGCTGGTGCCACAAACCCAGGACTCTCACTCACGGCGAATGCAAGCATGACACTGTCAAGACTGTAGAGATGACCTTAACTACCTACTCAGAAAGGAATGCTTGGGGTTGTAGCACAGCTGTTTGGAAATCGGCTTGTGCGCAGCATCAGGCCTCGCTGACATGCCAAGGATACCTCACGCAAATGACTTTTGGCGTTCAGCTGACACAACTTTGATTAGGCCCCTTAAACCAGCATAAACCATAAACGCCCATAGTATCGTGTCGCATACATCCATGCTGTCTGGAGACGCTTCGAGCTTGATCAGAACTCAACATCAGCGAGGTGCAAACTCGAATGCGGTAAGCACGATGATTGCAGGTTCATATGCTCTTTCTGTGAGGTTACGTGCAAGCCTGAGCAACAATCCCTCACACAAATCGCAGGGTCAGTCTAAAGAAATTACTTTGACGTGGGCTGCCTCCTTTAGATGTCGCCCCCCTTTTGATGGAAGCCAGGGTGCCCCCAAAAGCACAAAACACCTGGGCTTAATATAGAGCCGTAAGGAACCCCCCCCCCAAACTACTTATTTAGGCCCCTACATTAAGAACCCGACCCAGGCCTCAGGAGGAGCTTTCTTGTGAAGCTTTGCAGGTTGAGCTTCTAAGATCGGGGCCTAAATAATTACCAATACTACTTCTCGGGCTCCTTATTATAACTATACTATAAAGGGCCCCAAAACCCTATTCTAAAATAATTTCCAATACTATTTTGGGGGTTCCTTATTATAAGTATACTATGAATGGCCCCAAAACCCTATTCAAATTATCAAGGCACTTATATTACGCTAGGGATGCCCCTGGCCCCTCCCGCGCTCTCAGCGTCCAGCAACGACACCTACAGCTCCTAAAGCCCGGAAGAAGTGGAAGTATAAAGGCCTTCATAATTAGAATAGGGTTTGGGGGCCATTCATAGTATACTTATAATAAGGAACCTAAAGTTTTGGGGCCATTCATAGTATATACTTATAATAAGGAACGCGGCAGAAACTCTGAAGTCGCAAGCCCCCGAGCCCGAAGTATTTGCACTCATCTCAGTGGGCGGCCAAGCGCTGTATCATCAGATCCCGCTTTAATTCGCCTCGCTCCTGAAAGGACAGGTCATCAGACAAAGTGCATGCAACACGCTTGCGATGTTGCCCGGACTTGACAAGATTTAGAACATCAACATGTGCGGAATGAACAGGTTTTGTCTGTATCCCGAATACACGATCGCATCGATCGCATCTGCCCATCTCACCTATGCGCCACCTCAGAACAACAAGCCCCACATGGCTCGTAATTAACGTCACATTCTGAATTGTTTCATGTTGTCATGGGAGCTGAAACGGCATGGCATCCTTCACCAGACACAGGATCTGCTGCCACTGCCCCGTGCGTTCCATCGAAGCGGCCTTATTACGACCAGCACAGGATCATATGATTCCCATCGGGCCTAAGAAATGTAGAATCGGGTTTCCTGGTACTTATCCGACGATAATGTGGGGTCGTTAAGAGTTAGAATAGGGTTTTGGGGGTTCCTTGTTATCATTATAGTATATTATATACCCCAAACCCTATTCTAACTATTAAGGCCTCTACTATGAGCTATGATAAGGAAGCCTGGGAGATGAGTTGGTACTGATGCTTGAGGGGGGAACTGAGAATCTCGCGATCGCCTGCTGCGCTGCTAACCCGAGTCCAACAGACCACCCGGGGAAGGTCGGGGCCTTAATAATTAGAATAAGGTTTTGGGCCCATTATACTATCATTATAATAAGGAACCTTCAAAATAGTATAGGTGATTATTAAGGTACGACTGCAAGGGGGAATGAGAAGGTACAGCCATACCGGACGTGTAGCTGAGGGTACACATAAGGGTCTCAAGACTTGTTCCTTGAGGTCTTAAGCTTTGAATATTGTGGGAATCCGAATGAAAAGCTGCAACATACTGCAACTTTTCAGACGGTCATGTTGGGGAATGTCGCATGTTCAGGCCCCTATCTTAGAGCCCACATCCTCGAAGGTCACAGCCTTCCCCACACCACAAGTCCCAAGGCTTAACTTCACAAGGCTTTTCAAACCAACGCAGCTGGACAAGAGCCAGGCAAGTGCGATAAAGGTGTTAACATCCGGCTCCAATCTCATCTCCTTCCGGGGGTGCGGCGTCACACTCTGTCAAGCATGGAATGATTTGTGGAGCATCCGGAAAGACGACAACCTAGCGTAATATAGGGGCCTGAATGATTAGACTAGGGTTTGGGGTATATTATACCATAATTTCAATCAGGAACCCCCAAAATAGTATTGGTAAGTATTTAAGCCCCAATTTTTTTCTGTGATCCAACTTGTGTGCCCAGAAGCTAAGCCCACACGGGCCTTCAACTTCAAAAGAACAAGAACTACTACTGTTGCGAAAGTCCCCACCCTACAGGGGTAAGAAAGCAGTTGGTGGCCTAAGGAGAATAGCTGCCGCAATATCTGACACTCTACACCAAGGGTGGGGAAAGATCAAAGTCTTTCTGCTTTGGGTCCACTTTGTGGGGTCGCTGTAAGTCTCGGCTTCTCCCGAAACTCCAGACGGTGGCAATCTTCGTCTAAATCATACTAGCAATACTACTGTTGATGGACAAAATCCTGCATGACCCAAATATAGTATGGTACCATAAATCCCATAGTTTAGGTATATAAGGTCATGCAGGATTTTGTCCATCAACCGTAGTAGTGGTAGTATTCATACAAATCATAATCACAGAAATATAAATTGCAGTTCTGAAGGAAACTAGGAATACTAACAATAACAAGAATCACAATCATAGAAATAGTTTTGCAGTTCCTCACTAAATCCTGCAGGTCGAGATCCGGGGGGGGGGTCCAATGGTTTAGGATTTAGGGCTTTTAGGCTTTAGATATTATTCAGTCCGTTGGGCTCTTGAAAAGCACTGAGACCGCCCCACGAAAGCACTTTCTTAGATGTTTGTTGGTCAATCTTTTGTTTCCCTCCTAAGAACGCACAGCAGCTGCAAAATCACAGGCACCACTCCACTAAATATCATTATAAGGCCAACAACAAACTTATGAATACATTAAAACGGTTGATAATATAAATCCTGCATTACCCATAACAAGGAATATACCATAGTCCCCATAGTTTAGTGGCCCATAAAGGTAATGCAGGATTCATATCATCAACAGCAAGGTTTAGAGTTGGTTGTTGACCATGTGCCCCCTTATGGCGCAGCCGAGTACAACTGTAGAGATGCCTCAAGCTTCCCTTGGGAAAACCCCTAAGGGTCCATGTACCCAAATCCAGGGCCAAAACAAGGTTACTATAATCTCAAGAAGGGTTCTGTAAGGGCTGCTAGATGGTTCTATAAGGGCTTTGGGGTTTAGGGTTGATGGGTCCATGTACCCAAATAGTATATACTTTGGCCCTAGAGCACCTATATAGTCATTAAGGCCAAAGTATATACTATTTGGGTACATGGACCCTTTGACCCTAAACCCTTATAGAACCCTTAAAGGAACCCTTAAAGGGACCTTAAAGGAACTACTATTTGGGCACATGGCAATCGAATCGAAGACCAGGTTTGGTGTTTTAATATGGGGGCCACATTACTTGCTACTGTTGATAATATACATCCTGCATTACCTCAAGGGCCCCTAAACTATGGGAATTCTGGTATATTCCTTATTAAGGGTAATGCAGGATTTGTATCATCAACCGTAGTCCTATTTTTCGGTGTTATAACATCGAGAGCTTGGCCCCCTCGACCTCCTTCCTCGCCCCGGGACAGAAAACGGGTAGGGGAGCGGGGTGTGTTTGGGGCCAGTTCATGATAGGCTATCCTGTGTTTTGCATGTTGCCTATCTCTACGTGGTTGTTATTTGTGGTTTGGTTTAGGGCTGGCGGTTTATGAAATTGAGAGTCAGCTTAGGATTTCCCTTCGCTTTGTCTTGTTGATGTCCTATAATTACATGTCTTTGTTGTTGGTGCTTGTGTGCTTTTTGTTTTTATGTGTCGTTGATAGCTTCATGTGTCTTTGCTGGCATCATGCCACAGAAAAGACCTTCAGGGATCTAAAGTGCGGAGGTGTGAGGCAGCATCAAAAGGTCCAATGAAAACACGAAGTTTAAGTGTAGTTAGAGACAACACTTAGCAAAGCTGAGCCCGTTTGTGCTTCCTTTTGGGGGTGCCCGCAGCACAACAACCTGAGCCCCATGCCGCAAAATAGCTATCATGTGCGGTCTTCTGCGATCCGACGTCCACCTACCTCGCACCCTAAGCCCCGGAAGCAGAAAAGAAACAACACACGACCAAAGTACGAGAGCTTTTGGGGAAGAGGGTTTAGGGTTTACGGTTTCAATCCTTCAGAGGTGCGGCGAGGAACAGGATTCGGGTCCTTCGGGTTCGGGGATCACTGTCAGCTAGGCGACTGGCCTTCATCAGAGATGCCAGGTGGGTCGCCTCGCACCATCTGTCTTCCTGGCAAGTCGCAGTGGGATGCCAGAGTGTTAGGATTTAGCATATAGCGCTTAGGGTTTCGGGTCAGAGATGGTGTTCATATATACCTCGATATGTGCAGTGCCGACCGTCACAACTGATGTCAAGATCTCTGAGAGGAGCCCCTGCCTTTTTGCAGGCGTTGATGGCAGCGTTGAAGGCCATAATATCCGGTAACCTTCGGGTGGGCCGATCCATGCTCTAGCAGCCAGTTGAGACGACGGTGTGACATGAATCACAAAAGCTGTTACCCCCTGTATCAAACCCTATAAACCCCCAAACCCTAAATCAATTTCAGCATAGATACCGAAAACAATTCAGGGACTAAGGGGAGCTTTTGTTACACATTGTTGAGACGTGTAATATTACTTGACTCAAGTCTTCACCTGACCGCCTCCGGAAACAAAAACAACTCCACACACAGAGACCAGGTGGAAGAGGATCACCGTGTGCATGCAGAAAGCAGACATCAACATTGACCCTACAGCCAACCGAACAATAGCAATCTCAGCTCTGAGCCGACGCGACGAAGTACTGGAACCCGACAAACCGACATCAGACCACCCTGATGCAGGGGCCTTAGTAACTGGGGTTAATTCTTCTATAACTATAATCAGGAACCACCCAAACAGTATTGGAATTTTTTAAGGCCCTTTTTTGAAAGCCTAAACCGAGTCAGGGGCTGTGCAGACTTCAGGAGTTCGGCGAACATCCCGACGGCGCGCTGCCACTGGAGGCCCTGTGGGGGGAGAGGTTTCAGGTTGTGGAAATATGGTTACAGGTTTCGGGTCGAGTGCTAATGTAGGGGCCGTACTAATTCGAATAGGGTCTTGGGATATATTATATTATACTATAATATTGACAAGGAAACCCAAACTTGTCTCGGTAATTCTTCAAGCCCCTGTATTATGTAGGTTGCTGGCCAGGAAGCATGCTCAAGTGGAAGCTCTGACTTGCACACCGTGGCTAGCTTTTTTCAAACAACCCAAAGACGTCAGCTAAAAAAAATGGCTCGTGATGGAGGTCACCAACAAGAAACTTATTGAACTGCTACTGAATAGTGTTTCCTCACAAAAACCACGAGAGGACTATCAAGTAACATCGTTCCCGTGTCTTCCACCTGTCGTGGCTGCTTCTTGTCCAGGAAGTCTAGACTCTAGACCACAAGTAGTAAATTACAGATGTCTAAACTGCCTAAACCCCTCACTCCCATCCTGCAGGTCCTAGTCAATCGAGTCCAAATGGCCCTAAACCCTAAACCCTAAGCCCTAACATACTTCTAATCATCTCTGCTCTGGGTTCGTAGCTGCTGAGGCCCTGAAAAAAGCACGTCACCAACCCATCGAAACTTAATGCAGGGGTCAGGGGTCTTAATAATTGGAATTGGGTTTGGGGGGGTTCCTGTAAAGGGTTCCTTAAAGGGCTCTAGAAGACTAGTATAAGGGTTTAGGATTTAATTAAGGGCCTTAATAATTGGAATAGGGTCTGGGTATACTATCCTCATAATAAGGAACCGCCGAAACCCTATTCTAATTATAAAGGCCCCTATAGTAGAATCAGGTTTCGGGGTCTATGACCGTATTCTTATATATTGGCGTAGGGTTTAGAATTTAGGGTTCTGTCGTATTCTTAAGTGCGTGTGTATCATATATACATATACATATATATATATATATATATATTCAACATATATATATAACATATATATATATATATATGTATGTATGTATGTATATATATACATATATATAATATATACATCGGCTCAGGGTTTAACAGATCGGTGTAGGGTTTAGGGTTCTTGGGTATATGGCTGTACTGTTACATATCGGGACGACCAAGGGACGCCAATACCACCCTAAACCCTGAACCCTAAACTCTAAACCGGTGATTCTGGCCCCCTATTGTCAACTGCATCCCAGCGAGCGCTGACTCGTAAAAAGAGGCGACTAAAACTGAAACTGCGGCGGCTTCTGCGTTCCATAGCGGCCTGAATGTTTACCAATACTGTGCCTTTGGGTTCTCCTTATGAATACTACATTCTTGAAATATACCCCGAAACCCTATCTTGATTACATGTCTGGTGTGGCAGAATTTGCTGCCTTTCAAAGTAGTGATTTCAGTGAGCACCCCTGAATTAATCACTTCCACTAGCCGCAGCCTTGCAAAACAGGATTGTCGTTGTACCATCATTTATGTTGATGCCAGTTATTGCTAGGATTTTTGACGCCGTACAAAGCCAGCTCGTGCTTTGCCAGTAGGGGGGCATGCCCTGCTGCATGAATCCTGCTACTCCACTCCCTAACCCCTAAACCTTAAGCCCTAAACCCTACAACTTGGGGTACTAAACCTCACAGCCTTCTCACAAGCACTGATGCCAGCGCTGTAGGTGACAACCTGGAGCCCCATCTAGAGGCTTCGAGGGCATAACATGTACATGCGAACACGATCTATGCCTGCCGGACTTACCTACGTACAACGGCCGTACAACGGCCATGAGATTTGCTAGATAGGCAGGTGTAGACACAAACAGTCTCAGATAGGTTCAGATAGATATCATAGGGAAAGCATAGGCTTCACGGCTCAGCACGTGCCACACATTTGGAACATCACCTGTCTCCATGGCCGTGAGGAAGAATCCTAAACACCTCTCCCAATTTTCTGTAGTCCGAGTTAAGCAGGAAAGGGTTCCACTGTAAGGGTCTACTACTTAGACGAGGGTTTTCGGAAATAGAGAATGGGATCTTCTGCAGGAGCCAAGGAATAGTGGTAGTTGTAATTATCTAAGCTCCTGAACCCTAAACCGTTATACCCCTAAACCCTAATGTGAGGGCCTTAAAAACTAGAATAGGGTT